GTACTTCATACCAGTAACTCACTTTAACTTCCTTCTTAGCTTCGTTGTTGGTGCTTTGAACAGTGCGCACCAAATATTACATTACGAGCCCTGTTACAAGTAATATTTAGAAGATAGTTGATATTTTGTGGTTCTCACGGTCAAAACAGCAAATACAGCTCTCAATTATTTCGGGAAATGAGCTTGGTTGATCACGTGATCAGAAAGCAAGCAAAGGAAGCATGATGCGATGCTGTTCTCGAGTTGATGCGCTAATTTGAGCTGATTGGTAGTGAAGCAGTAAACAGTGCTATTTAAGTGCAATTGTATTGGCTAGCTGATTGCAATACACGCCTTGCACCTGAGTAAGAGAAGAATGATGAGCGAGAAATAAAGCGACGATGAAACCGGTAGCCTCCTCGTGTATTAGCACGAGCACTAGAGAATAACGCGAAAGAAAATAACATTTAGGATGAAAAGCAGCTCAATATGCGATCGATGGCTGGTCAGCACCAAGTGTCTCAAAGTCGCTAAAATAGCTCGAATTTAATTGGCAGGTAGCTTCAAACAGCATTAGCCGCTTCTTTTACTGCGAGGATCACTAACAGGGGGCTTTCCTGGTGCAGTAATAAACCACTGAGCCGATGACCTAGTGGTCACCGATTCAAAACCCACATAGAAGTAGTCCTAATATCTATTGAAGGAAAACAACATTCTCTCCTCTTCTTTTCTGTGCTACTGCATAAGTAAGTACTCTCTCCAAGAATAAAAAAATAGTCACTCAATACCTACAAGAAAAATCAAGCGAAAAAGTCAGGAAAAATACCATAGCGGATGCACCACCAATGTTGTATTTCGGAAATGTGGTTTTAATACATAGGTATAATACGAGGTATTTTACAGTGTTTGATAATTTTCTATATCAAATAATTTGATGACAGGAAGCTCACACCAGTTCAAACTTCATGCATCGGAAATGTCATTGCGAGGGTGCTCCGCCCAAGCGGCAAAAAAAGATTTTTGATGATGAAAGAATGTCTGCTTCAAAAATGTTAAGCTCAGCGCATCGACCAGCATGGAATGCGTTTTTAGAGTCTAAACTGTTTTTCAAAGCACCATCAGACGTGTATAATGTCTTTGGGCTGGCGTTGGAGCTGCGACCGACAAGTCCCTGTGGTAAGGCGCATTATTCTTCATCTTAATCAATACTGAAGGTTGTGTACGAACTTAAGAGGCTTTTGTGGACACATTGGGGCTTCGCTTAATCGGCTTATTTGACTTGCTGGCAGCTGCGGAAAAGAATAAAGTAACGGTGGACAAACCACTATACCTGCACGGACGTTTCTTTTTTGACCCGCCAGAGGTAGCAGCTGTTATGCTCGACAGTGACAGCAATACAGGTCGCCATTGGGGATACTTTAGGTTGCTCTGTTCTGCTTTCATGTGTGTGGAAGAAATAGTGGACTAAACTCTGGCTACTGAATGTAGAGATGCTCCTGATCAAATTCCAGAGTATATTGTGTGCGCAGAGAAGAGTAACGAGTGCAAATTTGATATAGCCGGCTCCAGTCTTTTTGACGTATTGGAAACAAGATTACAGACACGTCAATCTACCCTCGGTGACTATGAGGCTGCCAATCTGTCTCAGAAGATTAAAGACTATCGCACAGAGAAGTTGCGGTCTCAAGCATGGTCAGTATCGGCTCTTCAAGATAAGAGGTCGAAAGATATCGTTGCTGCATCACTACATCAACTTGGTATTGTGGTCCCAGTGGACACAACGAACAATACAGGGTATCGCGAGCTACCTGTGAGCGGACAAGATCTTGTTGATCTGTTACAACAATTTCAATCGGACGAAAGTAGCCAGAATCGGATGGCGCGCAATAAATTAAGCGAGTTAATGACTAGAGTTACGATTGCCAGCGATGAATGCGACTTTGGAACTGGTCTCCTGCTAGGACTCGACTTTTTCACCACCGGCTCGTGTCTTGAGGTAAGTGATTATTTACCTACTGCGAATATTGCTTTTCTTAAATGTGTTTGTTGTATAGAAGGAAGCTTTGCAGCTACTTCAGGTTGCTTACACACTGTTAGATCGAATGAATTACTACAACATTTTATCAGGTCATTGCAAGTATCGCAACAAGTGCGATTTCTATACATGTATTGAATCTCTTGTCGCACCGTCTAACGTAAAGAGATCTAGAAAAGAGAACAAGCAAGAAACATTCGAACTTCCACCACCATTGTTCAATAATGGCGGCAAGTGAAGGATTTTATACACATTTGTAAAGAATTTTTCTTTGCATGTTCACTTTGCAAAATTGCAATAAGCGATGAAAACCAATTTGGAACTATAATTACCGTTATCTTGCCCAGATTTCGGTATGTGTACCACAAAAAAGTTGACTTTAGTGGTTGGCTGTAAATTTATGGTCAAAAAGTGATTAGCATTCATTAAAAAGTATCGAGTCTAGTGTAACCATGGCCGAGGTGGAGAAAGAAGCGATTGCCACGGAACAGACCCAATTGGCAGCATATACAAAGCCCTTTGTATATAAAGAAGTCATGACTGAAGATTTGCTTTTATCGATAGCGCTCAAGACCATTACATTCGAGGCCAAGTCCAAGTTTCAAAGCATGCAGATCATCGAGACCTACTCATTTGGCAAAACACTTGTTCTAGATGGCAAAACACAATCAGCCAAGCTCGATGAGGCTATATATCACGAGACGCTTGTTCATCCTGCTATGCTTGCTCACAAGAATCCCAAAACTGTCTTTATTGGTGGTGGTGGTGAGTTTGCTACGGCTCGTGAAGTTTTGAAGCACAAATCGGTCGAAAAGGTTGTGATGGTCGATATTGACGAACTTGTGTGTAATATGTGTCGTAAGGAGATGCCTGAATGGGCCGATGGTGCGTTTGAAGACCCGCGTCTTGAGGTGCATTACACAGATGCGCATGCTTTTCTCAAGCAGTACAACGGCACATTTGATGTCATTATCATGGATATTGCCGACCCTATTGAAGCTGGTCCAGGCTACGTGCTGTATACTGAAGAATTTTACGAATATGCCAATACAAAACTTAACAAGGGTGGCTACATAGTCACACAGTCGGGCCCAGGTGCTGTGTATAACTACGATGAGTGCTTTACTTCAATCTACTGCACACTCAAGACCAACTTTAACTCAGTTGTACCCTACACGGTTGAAATCCCGTCTTTTGGCTGCGCATGGGCATTCAACATGGCTACCAATGTAGAAGACGAAAATGGTGGTGAGGCAACTGTGAAGGCTATTCGCGAGCGTAGCATTGATGAAACGAACGCTCTTGTGGAATCGCGCATTAAGAAGCCGCTTCATTTTTATGACGGCGTGAGCCACTTGGGTCTTTTCGGTTTGCCCAAAATGGTGCGAGAGGCCCTTGAGAAAGAAACTCGCGTCATTACGGTGGATAACCCGGTCTTTATGACCTGAAAAACTCAAAAAAACAGCAAATACACCCATTCATGACTCAAAAACGCTTTTGTACTTCATCCATATAACACACGTAAAGTGTCTAATGAATCTCTATTATGTGCTTTTGCCATCATTATAATCGGTGTGCTTAAATAAAGCCCACGCATTTTTTTCTTTAAGCTTTCTCGTTGGTCTCACCAACCTCAAAACGTTCGTAAGCAGTCACTGTCACGTCCACGCCAAGTCTCTTGGACTGCTCAGCAATGAACGTGCCCACTCTTGGGTTGCCTTCCTCAATTAAATGTGGCTGCTCCAGCAGCGTACACTCACCAAAAAATTTACTCAAGCGGCCCTCAGTCATTTTGGCAACGATATGAGCAGGTTTTCCTGAATCCTTGACCAAATCAGCAAGATACGCACGTTCCTTTTCGACCAGCTCAGCTGGAACGGTCTCGCGCGATAGAAAACGAGGGTTGGCAGCCATAACGTGCATCGCTAGACGGTGACCTAGCTCCCTCACACCAGCCGTCTGCTCAGCAGTTGCTGTCTTCGACAGATATCTCAAAGCCACAAGTGCACCAGCACGACCAAGACCAGGGGCGGCAACATTGTGAAGATAGCTGCAAATCGTGCCTTCCTCAAGTTTGAGCTGCACGGCACGAGTGGCCACGACATTCTCCCCAACAATTCCCACCAGTTCGGGCACCTTTTCAGCAACAGTAGAATCGTCTACATTTACAAGTGCTAGCTGTTCCGAAGGAAAATTAGTCACAGCCTTTGATGTCGGGACTTCTACCAGTGCGTTAGCCACATTTCTCACGAGTGCCTGAAATTTGTTGTTCATGGCCACGAAGTCTGTCTCGCTGTTGACTTCCACCATGGCAGCGATCAAGCCACTCTCCGTCACCTTGATGGACACAAGTCCTTCAGCCGTGTGACGACCAGTCTTTTTACTGGCCGACGCGATGCCTTTTTTGCGTAGCCATTCAAAAGCTGCTGGAAAGTTGCCTTCAGTAGCCGCAAGCGCGTCTCGCACGTCCTTGAGTGGTGCTTGTGATTCAGTGCGTAATTTCTTGACAGCATTAATGTCAGGCTTGTACATACTAATCCGGCGAGCTAGGTAAAGTGACAAGGGGCTCGTGTGAGCAAGATACTTAAAGACCATTGTGAAACTATAGTAACGTTGCGGTCTGCGTATCCACTCCAGCAACTGGAAAAATTAAGTTACCATTCGTCAAAATGAGATGCGACAATTATAAGATGGTGAATTGCGGACGTACACACAAGTTTAGTATACTCGTATAATTAATGCTTGGGATTACGCTCGATGTTTAATCTTGTGCATCATCGACGGCGAATACTAAATCAATCATAGAAGCATTAGCATTGTGATTCTTCTGTTGGAAAACGCTTGAGCCATATGCCATGGCAAAGGCCATACGCGGGAAAGACGCATCCACTGCTTGCGTTAGCGCTACCACCTGTTGTTAACAAGGTGGAAATCTGCATTGCGACTGATATGTTATTCCAGCTGTAAAAAGCAATTTAATAGTCTGCATTGCGATGGCTTCGTTACAACAGATGTTGTTAGCAAGGTGGAAGTCCGCTAAGCGACTGATGTGTTACCGCAGCTGTTAATAGCGTGGTGATCTGCATTGCGACTAAAAGCTCTTCCAGCTGTTGATAGCCTGTATTGCGATGGATTCGTAACAGCATCTGTTGTTAGAAAGGTGGAAGTCCGCTAAGCCACTTATGTGTTATCGCAGCTTTTGATAACGTGTTGATAGTCTGCAGCGCGGCTGACATGTTATCCCTCCCAGCTGGTAATAGCAATGTGATAGTCTGCATTGCTGACCACAACTGCGGTAATAAATTAGTTCGAATACAGATTATCACGAAGCTGTCAACAGCTGCTGTAATCGATTAGTCGCGCCGCATCATATCACCACGTTGTCAACAGCTGCGATAACACACCACTCGCTTAGCCGACTTCCACCTTGCAATCAACAGCTGGATCAACATATCAGTCGCAAAGCGGACTACCATTTCGTAGTTAACAGCTGTGATAACATAACAGTGGCGAAGCGGACTACCACCACACTGTCAACAGCTGCGATGACACATTCGTTCCAATACAGCATATCACCACGTTGTCAACAGTTGCTCTGACAGATTATTCGCACTGCAGGATATCACCGCTTTGTAAACTGTTGCGTTAACACATCGAAATAAAGAAATCACCATACTGTCAACAGCCATGCCGACACATCAATCGCAATGCAGATTTCCACCTTGCTATCAATAGCTGCAATACCATATCAGTCGCAATGCAGATCACCACGCTATCAACAGCTGCGATAACACATCAGTCGCTCAGCAGACTACCATTTTGCTGTCAAAAGCTGCAGTAACACATTAGTTCCGATGAGACTTTTACCAAGCCGTCAGCGGCTGCTCTAACATTATTCGCTTTGCAGGATATCACCGCGTTGTCAACAGTTGCGTGAACGCATCAGTCACGAAGAAAAATTTCACCAAACTTTCAACAGCCATACTGACAAATCAATCGCAATGCAGATTTAATAACTGCGATACCATATCAGTCGCAATGCAGATCACCACGCTATCAGTAGCTGCGGTAACACATCAGTCACTTAAAGGACCTCCACCTTGCTAACAACAGATGCTGTAACAAATCCGTCGCAATGCGGATTTTACATTTCTATCAACAGCTGGAAAAGTTCGGTCACACTGCAGACTATCACCACGCTATCAACAACTGCGGTAGCACATTAGTAGCTTAGCGGACTACCACCTTGTAACAACAGCTGCTGTAATGAATCCATCGCAATGCAAACTATCACAGTGCTATTACCAGCTAAGATAACGTATCAGTTCCAATGCCTAATATCACCACGCTATCAACAGCTGCGATAACATATCAGTCGCAAAGCG